GTGACTAGCGAGGCAATTCTCATCTTATGGTCAAAAACTTTAGTACCCCCGAAGGGCAAATGGGTTCTCGCCGCCGCCAATCATTCACATCGTCATCTCCATCCACGGGGCTGGTTCTCGGCCCTGGCCGTTTGGCCGCGCAGGGTGAGAAAAAGTCCGCAGGGCAAAGGGATGGGTCTCGCCGCCGCAATCAATCATCGGTCACTCCATCACGGTGGTTCTCTTCTCGGCCCCTGGCCGTTGGCCGTGCAGGTGAGAAAAAGTCCGCAGGGGCAAGATGTGGGTTCTCGCCGCCGCCAATCATCATCGTCATCTCCATCAACTGTGGTTCTCGGCCTGGCCGTTGTCCGCGGCAGGTGAGAAAAAGTCCGCAGGGCAAGATGGGTTCTCGCCGCCGCCAATCATCATCGCCATCTCCATCACGGTGGTTCTCGGGCCCTGGCCGTTGGCCGTGCAGGTGAGAAAAGTCCGCACGGGGGGTAGTATAGTTTTGACCATAAGACGCCATGCTGCCGACGCCCTCTGCCCCCCCGTGGAATCTTAGCGACATGTTTTGGGTCGGGCGGCGGTTCGACTCCGATGGGCTCTCACCCTGTAAGAATATAATAACATATATTTAAAACAGGGTGATAATTACTCCGTCCCATGTACAATAGGGCCGGAAAACACTCCGACTTGAACCCATTCACAGTAAACCACTCCGCTTGGGTCACGTTTGATCGTCCGTGTCATCATCCCCATCGACCCTGTCCTGATCATGCCAACGCGATGTTTCATTGTATTCCTTGTTGCATTGATGCTGTGAGACCCTGGGCATCCTTCTCCAATGCGGTCGCTCCCGGTTCACTGGTTGGCCGTCCCAGAGGGCCCACAAAAAAGGCACCGCGAATGCCGCATCAAGGCATCTTTGACATACCTGATCGGTCCTCCGCGCACCGTGACCAGCGAGCAATTCTTCATCTTTATGGTCAAAACTTTAGCACCCCCGAAGGGCAAATGGTTTCTCTCTTCGCCGCCGCCAAATCAATCATCGTCATCTCCACACGGTGGTTCTCGGGGCCCTGGCCGTTGGCCGCGCAGGTGAGAAATGTCCCGCAGGGGCCAAAGATGGGTTTTCTCGCGCCGCCAATCATCACGTCATCTTCATCACGGTGGTTCTCGGGCCCTGGCCGTTGGCCGCCCAGGTGAGAAAAGTCCGCAGGGCAAAATGGGTTCTCGCCGCCGCTAGTCATCATCGTCATCTCCATCACGGTGGTTCTCGGGCCCTGGCCGTTGGCCGTGCAGGTGAGAAGAGTCCGCAGGGCAAGATGGGTTCTCGCCGCCGCCAATCATCATCGCCATCTCCATCACGGTGGTTCTCGGGCCCTGGCCGTTGGCCGTGCAGGTGAGAAAAGTCCGCACGGGGGGTACTATAGTTTTGACCATAAGACGTCATGCTGTCGACGCCCCCTGCCCCCCCGTAGAATCTTAGCGACATGTTTTGGGTCGGGCGGCGGTTCGACTCCGATGGGCTCTCACCCTGTAAGAATATAATAATATATATTTAAAACAGGGTGATAATTACTCCGTCCCATGTACAATAGGGCCGGAAAACACTCCGACTTGAACCCATTCACAGTAAACCACTCCGCTTGGGTCACGTTTGATCGTCCGTGTCATCATCCCCATCGACCCTGCCCTGATCATGCCAACGCGATGTTTCATTGTATTCCTTGTTGCATTGATGCTGTGAGACCCTGGGCATCCTTCTCCAATGCGGTCGCTCCCGGTTCACTGGTTGGCCGTCCCAGAGGGCCCACAAAAGGCTCGCGAATCCGCATCAAGGCATCTTTGCATCCTGATCGGCCCTCCGCGGCACGCGTGACCAGCGAGGCAATTCTCATCTTTATGGTCAAAAACTTTAGTACCCCGAAGGGCAACATGGGTTCTCGCCGCCGCCAATCATCATCGCCATCTCCATCACGGCCGGTTTCCTCGGCCCTGGCCGTTGCCGCGCAGGTGAGAAAGGTCAGAAGGTCGCAGGGCAAGAATGCGCTGCATCGCGGCTCCGACCGCCATCATCAATCGTCCATCTCCATCACGGTGGTTCTCGGGCCCTGGCCGTTGGCCGAGCAGGTGAGAAAAGTCCGCAGGGCAAAATGGGTTCTCGCCGCCGCCAATCATCATCGTCATCTCCATCACGGTGGTTCTCGGGCCCTGGCCGTTGGCCGCGCAGGTGAGAAAAGTCCGCAGGGCAAGATGGGTTCTCGCCGCCGCCAATCATCATCGTCATCTCCATCACGGTGGTTCTCGGGCCCTGGCCGTTGGCCGTGCAGGTGAGAAAAGTCCGCACGGGGGGTGGTATAGTTTTGACCATAAGACGCCATGCTGCCGACGCCCTCTGCCCCCCCGTAGAATCTTAGCGACATGTTTTGGGTCGGGCGGCGGTTCGACTCCGATGGGCTCTCACCCTGTAAGAATATAATAATATATATTTAAAACAGGGTGATAATTACTCCGTCCCATTTACAATAGGGCCGGAAAACACTCCGACTTGAACCCATCACAGTAACCACTCCGCTTGGGTCACGTTTGATCGTCCGTGTCATCATCCCCATCGACCCTGTCCTTATCATGCCAACGCGATGTTTCATTGTATTCCTTGTTGCATTGATGCTGTGAGACCCTGGGCATCCTTCTCCAATGCGGTCGCTCTCGGTTCACTGGTTGGCCGTCCAGAGGGCCCACAAAAGGCTCGCGAATCCGCATCAAGGCATCTTTGCATCCTGATCGGTCCTCCGCGGCACGCGTGACCAGCGAGGCAATTCTCATCTTATGGTCAAAAACTTTAGTACCCCCGAAGGGCAAAATGGGTTCTCGCCGCCGCCAATCATCATCGTCATCTCCATCACGGTGGTTCTCGGGCCCTGGCCGCTGGCCGCGCAGGTGAGAAAAGTCCGCAGGGCAAAATGGGTTCTCGCCGCCGCCAATCATCATCGTCATCTCCATCACGGTGGTTCTCGGGCCCTGGC